CGGCATTCCGGCCAAAAAACGTTGCCTACCCCTGCCCTAGCATCTGATTTGCTGAGTATTCACAGCTGCATCTAAAGTCAGTGGTAAGTGGTTTCTCAATATATATTAAGGGCTTTAGAATGGTTAGTGTGCTGAAAAAGATCAGATTTCTCTGCCTCTCATATTGGGCATGCAAAATGAGCGGAAACTTTTTACCTTAATCTGTCTGTGCCCCTAAATCCCTTGTCAGTAAAATGGGGATATTTACTTCACTGGGGTGTTGTGAACATAAATTCAGCAGTTTGTGAAGCACTCGGATACTGTAGTGATGAGAACCTTAGAAAAGGCTAATTCTGTCTTCAAATCAGGGTCTGATTAGCCTGCTGTAAATAAGGAATGGAGCCATACCTTGAATAATGAAAACAAATATTGAATAGCTGCTCATTAAGTTAGCACTGCCCTTTCTGTTCACTGAATGAGGCAGAAGTCCTGTGGAAAAAATGTCATCATATAATTAAAGACTAGAGCATACTGCCTGCCCACCAGGGGACAAATTAGGGTTGCTTGGACAACCTTCTGACTACACCATTAAATATTACAACCTTAATAATGTTCCTTTAAAGTTGTTTGTATGTAATGTCATTATCTGTGCTGAATGCTTACTTCAAATACTAAGTGCAGGTTTGAGAAACGACTATCTCTGCAGCTTGGATTTTGACATTAAGTGATGATCAAATATATGCTGGCCTGATCTGTACCCTCTCAGCCTGCTTATTCTGGAGTACCTGCAGACTCCTGATCTGCAAAGAGAGTTTCAGGTGTTGGGCTTGTTGGGTTTTTTTAATTTTTCTTGTCCTCTCTCTCTCATCATTTTAAATAACTGAAGGAGGTTTCCAGAAGTAAAAAATCCAATCTTATTGAGCAGCAGCAGGACACAACCAGCCTCATGGCTGATGTGCACTTGACATTATTTTTGTTCTAATGGAAACATTTGCATTGGTGCCTATTAAAGTGTGATGGTTTTATTTAAAGATATTTTACTACAGAATAATTTACTTTTAAAGACATACATTGAGCACAAAGACGGAATTTAAAAGCTTCTGAAGAACTTGTTAAAAAGAAATCAAAGTGAAAAGCCACTTGAAAAGAACCACAATAATCTAATTCATCTTTCTGCTAACCCTCTCCATGAAACCAGTATTAGGCAGAGATTATGCCAGGGTCCAACTGAACTCCATTGCCCCAGGAGCCATTGTGCTTCAGGGTACTGCAATGCCTCCTGGAGCTGTAAAGGAACTAAGAATAATGTGAGAGAAATGCATCCAAGGTACTCTGTACTCTCTTCTGCAGTTAGCCAGATCCAACAGATGTGGAGGGTGTGTGGAGCCACTTGCTCCATCTGCTCCCTACTGAAAGGTTGCTTGTGTACCAGAAAGCAGCTGAGAGGTACTAGTAAAAGGGACTTCATAGGTATTGCAGGCATGGCTGGTGTCTACTGGGGATACAGTGGGATGGAAGACATCTCTTTGCATTATCCCTTTCCTGTACATAGAGACCAACCAGAGTTGGGTAGCAAACTAGCCCAGACCCTTATCTCCAGAGACTTGTCCTTTGACTCCTACCAGCAGACAGACTGTTTAATCCTGGCACAAACCCCAAGTGTGAAGCTTCAGCTTTCATCATAGCTGCCGCACATCTTGTTAATTAACAACCCTGAATTTTAGTCAAGGTTTTTAATATTTTTAAGCATTAAATGAGGAGAGATTTTAGCTATGAGGAGGTCCCTTTTGTTTTTATTTAGATGAAAATGTCCACCTCTGAAACTATGAAGATATTTTTGGTAACATACATCCCTTTACAGTCCATAGTTACGTTTGGTCTGCACACGCAGTTACTCTGGAATAGCTGCCCTTGATTATTCCTTTGGAAGTGGTTTAAACTAATTGAGATTAAGACACTCTTATTCTGGATTAAGAGCATGCACACCTGAAGACAAGCAGATACAATTGATCCTTTTAAAATTCACACCCTACTTCTTTCCTGCCTGTTCACATCTACACAAGCCCTAAGGGCCTTCCTTATCCAGGCCCCACCAAGGTCAGTAAGAGTTTTCTACTGACTCTAACGAAAACTGAATCAGGCCTTAAATTTGTGAAACCAGCTCCCTTCTAGAAACCACGGTGGGTATCCAGAGCTGATTATTGCAGACATCAATATCACTAGGTTCAATCCTGCATATCATTAGTACTCCCCAACTTCTTGCTGAAGTCAGTGGATGAGTTATAAGAAATACAAAATCTGTCCCATACTCTCTTATGCTCATAGGGACTTTTTCAAACTAAACGACTAAAAATGTTGTTTCAAAATAGAATCCTTTCTTCTCTAGATTTGTTTGTGCTTGACACCAGAGTGGACTGTCTGACAGTGAGTACAGTTTGATGTAAATCACAAAGCAAAAGCATATGCTTTTTGTCTCTCTCCTCCAAAGCCATGCACAGTAGGATATGGGAAATGTCAACAATAATTAGATAAAACTGTATAACCTCCTAGCAGCACTAATGTACCATGTAAAACTTAATATTTGTTATGAAGCTTTAAACATTTGTTTGACGGCTGCTTATTAGAGATAATCTAGGCCTTTTTAAAATGTTTCGTTTCTGGGACATTAAGAATGAAAGAACTGTGAATATAAACGTGTACACAGCAAGCTATGAAAAGTTGTACAGATTAGCTACAACTAGAGGGGTTTTTTTTTCAAATGATAGAGACATGCCTTACTTCTCCATATAAGACAGGAATTAAAAATAAGATAGCCTTCTTCTGCTGATAATGTTTTGGAATTTGATTTGCAGAGAAGGGAAAAAAGACCATTTCTGCAGCTGATGAAAACTGGCATAAATCTACTAAAGTCAATGGAGCCATCCTATTTTATATCTGTTGTTTATCTGGACCAATGTATTCTTTAGGGCCTAAGAAACAGCAGGAAGAATGAGGAAGGGGAAAGCAAAAGCAAAGGCAGAAATGTCCAAGGTTCTTGTCTGAGGCAATAATATTAAAAGACTAGTAGTTTTTAAAAACACAAAAAGGTAGAATTTTCTAGGTTTGTTAACTAATATCATTTTATCTTCTAGGAAAATGATGAAGAGAAGATGTTTTGAGTTGATCTGATGAAAATGGAACAGAAACAATTTCTCAGGAATTCTACATAACTTTATTAAATGTAGGAATTTTAAACCCCAAACAGTTACCATCTAAAAGCACCAGTCCCTTTCCCTCACCGTCTATTCTGTAGGAAAAAAATGAATTTTACAAACTGTACAACAGAAGCCAATGTGGCTATCCAGCCAAAAACAGTAACTGAAAAGATGCTTATTACCTTGACCTTGGGCACAATCACAGTCTTAACCATGCTGCTGAATTCTGCTGTAATTGCAGCAATCTGCACAACCAAGAAATTACACCAGCCAGCAAATTATTTAATATGCTCGCTAGCTGTGACAGATCTGCTTGTTGCTATTCTAGTCATGCCTTTGAGTATTATATACATAATGATGGATAAATGGACTCTGGGATACTTCATCTGTGAGATATGGCTCAGCGTTGACATGACTTGTTGCACATGTTCAATTCTTCATCTTTGTGTCATTGCTCTGGATAGATATTGGGCAATCACAGATGCCATTGAATATGCCAGGAAAAGAACTGCAAAAAGGGCTGGGCTTATGATAGGCACTGTATGGACTATATCTATTTTCATTTCAATGCCACCATTGTTTTGGAGGAATCATCGCAGCATCAGTATTCCAAGTGAGTGTCGTATTCAACACGATCATGTTATCTATACAATTTACTCCACTTTTGGAGCATTTTATATCCCCTTGACTTTAATACTGATCCTCTACTACAGAATTTATCATGCCGCAAAGAGCCTTTACCAAAAACGCGGTTCAAGCAGACACCTAAGCAACAGAAGCACCGACAGCCAAAACTCTTTTGCCAGCTGTAAGCTCACACAAACCTTCTGTGTGTCAGACTTCTCTACATCTGACCCCACCATGGAATTTGATAAAATAAATGCTTCAGTGAGAATCCCTCCCTTTGATAATGACCTAGACCTGGCTGGGGACCGTCAGCAGATTTCAAGTACACGGGAACGAAAGGCTGCTCGCATTCTGGGACTGATTTTAGGGGCTTTCATGTTGTCTTGGCTGCCATTTTTCATTAAGGAGCTTATCGTGGGCCTTAACATTTGCACTGTGTCTGAAAAAGTAGCTGACTTTTTGACCTGGCTTGGTTATGTCAATTCCCTTATCAACCCTCTGTTGTACACTAGTTTTAATGAAGATTTTAAGCTGGCCTTTAAAAAGCTCATTAGGTGTTGGGAACATTCTTAGAAGTATCTAAAAATGTTGATGACATGACTCCTTGGCCTTAAGAATGAGTAAAATAATCAGAATTTAGCAGCCTTTTTGCTTGGAAAAGAGAATTTTTGTGTTTGTCTATATGCTCAACTTCTCTTTAGCCTGTAAGTTGTTCTGCAGTTTTTTTAACTCTGTTGTTATTTATGATCCATAGTTTCAAATAAATTTTATTATACTGAGGCACAAATGTTTTCAGCAAGTGAACACAAAAAATAACTTATCCATTAATTTTTAGGATATTTTGCTTATGAATAATCTATCATTCAAAAAATCATATTTCTTTTGCATTTTTCTTTGATAAATGTCTAAATAAACTTGCACTAAAGTTACATGAAGGTTGATGATCTAAATCCACATAAGTATATATTTGGTAAAAAATAAATTCAGCTCATGGTCGTGTCACTTAATGACTACCAACTGAACTGTAAACCTTTGATACTGTCTCCTAAGGAAAAATTACCATTCATTGAGAAGGAAAATAATTCTAATTTTCAGTGTAGCTCATGGTAGAATAAACCTGCTGAGTCAAATTCTGCCATTCTATACATTATTCTTAGTCTGATGTAAATCCAGTGATATATCTGGAGTCAGATTTTGGCTCATTCCTTTTACAAGAGTAGCTTAGCATATACTCCAAGAGATCTATATAAGCAACTTTGGCATTAGAGAAATAAGTTAACATATTATCCAGTTAACAGCTATAATCAGATGGCTATTGGCAAGAGCATAGAACGGCTATTGATTTGATTTGTGTGCTAATTGAGAACAAACTTAGCAGTGTCATGCTTATAGAGCCAGCTGCACCTCTGTCACTTTTCAAGTTTAATTATATCCCTTCACAGCTTGGCCCTTGTGCCACATCTTGATGTGGAAGTACCACAAGTCTTCCATACATCAACTGGGCATGGGACTAAAGAACACTGTATCACTCATTCTTACCTACAGAACCAACTGAGTTCACTGGGTTGCAATTCTTCCCTCAGGCATGCATGGCCAATGCTAAATCATAGCAAAACACCCTGCTAAAAACCAAAGTATTGTTTATTTTTAACTGTAGGAACAAAGGAGTTACAGGAAACAATCTACTACACACAAGTCTTTCTTACCTAAAGACTTACCATCTCTCGTGATAACCTTGGCAAGACTGATTTCTTCTGATGCCTCCAGGGTGTCCTGTGTCTCTGTCTAGTTCTCCCAAAAAGCTAATTCCTCTCTCTTAAAAGAGGTTGCCCCTTTTATCCTTCCTCTATGTTTAGAGGCTTTTGCCTGTTCCGCTCTAAACCAGCTTTGTAAATAGGCTGGAAAGGAGACAAAATTAAAGCATTAGTCCTGATACTGTCCTTTATACAACTCTCCATGTTTTTTTCTGAAAGACAGTTCTCCGTCATTCCTTTTCTCCTTGCTTCTTTTTTCAAAGTTCTGTGGAGTGAAATTAATATATTAATATACAAAGCAGCTCAGTAATGCTGCAAACATTCAGTGTTCATGTATTGTAACATGGCAGCTCCAAATCCACCATAGCAACTATTCACTATAGTGAAAATGTTGTGATAGAAAAAGCCTTGGCAATCTGCAGTGCACAGTGTTTTGAAACTTTGCTGTATGATGTTCATCTCTTCCTCTTGAGTTTAAGAAACTGTAAGTAACACAAGACTTTCTTCCAGTTGAGAGATATCATCCTTAGTTCTGGGAAAGAGCATTTGTCTGGAAAGAAAGTGTTGTTCTTCCTTGGTAGCTGACTACAAACTGAATGTGAATGTGCAAAAGTGTGACCCAGAGTGTACCCCATCTGTAGTGGCATTCTGCATTTAAAGATTATAAAAGACTTATTTGCCTGAGCTCAAATATGTTCATCACTAGAAGCTTTTCTGAAGCTATGACTGTAGCTACTGCTACAAACTGCCTAGAGGCCCAGTCCTGTTAATATTTAGCAGCTAAAATGGGGGGGGAAATATCTTATTCAACTGAAAAGTTCTGGTGGGAAAGTCCATGAATCCATTACAATTTCTCCTCTTTGCAGTTTGTCCAATAACCCAGAGCACTGCTGTTAGGATGATTTCTGGCTCCCAACCAATGACTGTCTAATGCAATGATTCTCAATGAGAGTACCATACTGCCCTGGGGTGCCTAGAGATCATTTCAAGGGTACCATGGGGTGCCACACAATGTTAATACTGTTAGGTTTACAAACATGATTCAAAAAATAAACCCAGTGATTTCAAATAGAAATCCATAGTTGTGGTGTTTCTGAGTTCTTTGCAACAAAAAACTGCTCCCTTATTTTTCTGTACAGTATTAAAAAAAAAAAGAATAAAATTTAAGAACTGGTATTTTCCAAGAGGTGTCTCAAGTCTATCGCGGGCTACCTCAAGTCTAAAAAGGTTAAGAACCACTGGTCTATAGTAAAAATGCATAAACAATCCTGAAAGCAGGGTCCAGACCCCATGTTCCCCTCCCCCACATCCCAACAGAGGCAGATTTCCTTTTGTTTTTTTCTCCCCCCTGCACTCTATTAAATTTTATATGAAATGTCCATTGGTTAAAATGCAATTAAATCCAGTAGCAGAGAATCCCAGACCCCGTCCTTCTAACAGAGTGCCTACCTCATTGGACAATAGGAGGTATGATCTGTCTTGCTTACTTTCCTTCGGGCTCCCTGAATATTGCTCCTTGGACGCGCAGTTTACCAGCTTCAACAGGAGAGGTGGAGCGATAACTCACATGGACCAGACCATGGGCTAGTGTTTGTGGCAATTCTGCTGGAGGTTGGAGATGTGCCTATGAATTCCTTCAGGCTGAGGAAGGCCAAGAATATGGGCTTTCTACTTCCTGGACAAGGGTGTTAGCCACTCCCTAAGTGTCCCCTGCACATGGCCGAGTGGCTGGGATTGGGCTGTGGGCAGGTGGGAAGCAGCATCTGGAAGCAGAACAGGTGGGTGGGCCAGGGCTGGAAACGCAGGGCAGTGACAGCACAGAGCCAGGGCCCATGGCAGAGCTGCAATCTGCTCCCCACACGTCGCTGTCCGCAGAACTGGTGCCTGGCGCAGGGCCATGCAGGCAGTGGACCATGGCTCTGCCCAGGGCCCAAACCCCACGCTGTCACCACCCCATGATCCCAACCCAGCCGCACCCCACCAAGGCCCTATCCCACCTGCCCAGCTGCACGCTCTGCCTGCACGGGTCCCATGAAGCCCATTGTTTTCAATTCTATACAAATACACTTATCTTTGCATGAGAAAGGACAGGTAATGGAGTGGCTGTGCTGAGAAAAGTTCAGAAAGAGACCCCCAAACATCACATAGGCTAGAAACTAAACTACCAGCAGAAATATTCCAATATCATCACCTCTACCACTGAAATGTCGAGAGTCATATTTCTTATGCGGCAGTAATTTCTTGATTTGGAATGGGAAATGCCATAACTGCCCTTCACGATAGCTGTTGTAGATATGCAAAAAGCTTTGAAAACTAACATGAAAATCATAATATTCACAAGCTGCCCAATCTTAATTTCTGTGCACTGCACAGTTCTCCTTCTAGTAACTTGTTTCTGCTACTCAAACTACCACTTAGTGTCAGGTTTAAGATTTTATTTAATTTTAATATTCAAAGGTAATTAACAGTAAAAACAAATGGATACTTAATGTTCATGTTTCTCTGTTAACTAAATACTTCACATTCGTTGCAAACTGACAAAACATTTTATAATTCAGTCTTTAGCTGAACAGAGCTATGTTTTGTAACAAACATTGCCACATAGATGAAGATACATGGTATATGTCCTAGCACTCAAACCAAAGCTGAAAACAGCTCACAGGGTTGTATATTTACAACAATTAAACAAAGCATTTAAAAAAACTTGATTAGAATTTCCCTGTTACTTGGTGAATGTAAAGCCATATACTAGTATATCAGTATATAGTACTTGCTGCTTGTTGGCAACTTCATTTTTATCTGAGATTTTTCAAATATGATGAAAAATGTTTTGATAAAATGGTTACAGATATAATTTTTATTTCATATCTTCTACAACCTCAGCTGCCTTCTTCCAACTCTGTCCTGGATCTGTTCCAGTCAGAACGCCCCACACCACCCCACTAACTACCCTTAATATGGTCTCTATTAACAGCTTTATGGCCAGATTCCTCTGCCTCCACTCAGATTTTACTTTCTTTGACCTTCTGATGCTGTTGGTCATATCCATCTTCCTCAAAATCTTGTCTTCCTTCACCTATACTGTCATCAACTGGTTTTATTTCTGACTCTGTTTTCATTTTTCTGCATTGCTTTCAGAGATTCTCTTTTCTTTATTTTTCCTATTCACTGCAGGGGATCACAGCTTTGTCCTTGGCCCCTTCCTCTTCACTGCCTACACCATTTCTTTGAAGCATCTCGTCTCTATGCTACCAACTCACAAATCTAGCTTTCCAATCCCGATTCTCTTCCTTCTAAGTCCCTTCTCTCAGCCTGCCACTCTGACATCTCTTTTTGGCCGCCTCTCTGGCAAATTAAATTTAACTGGTCCAAACAGAATGAACATCATATTTTCCTCCAAAACCTTCCCATTGCCCTCACTGGTTCCTCTTTCACCACCACTTGAATTTCAATCTGCTGATCCTCATTTTTAAGGTCCTTTGCTCCTGCCAATGTATTTGCTTTGTATCTTACCCGATTCCATTTATTCTGCTTGTGTTGCCCATCTTAACTCCCTGTTTCTCCAAATAAAGCCTCCAAGATTTTTTCAATACCAACTTTTCATCATTTAATACCCTCCCTTATGGCCACTCTCCTCTCCCCTTCTCAAGATCCCCTTCCACCATGACACCTTCAATAAAAATCTGATTTCTGAAGGCCATGTTGAGGAGAAATGGAGGGATGTCACTATGTAATGAAAAATTAAGGTTGTATCCTTCCCTAGCCTTCATGTGGTGCTTGTCCTATTAGACTATCCACTCTTCAGGGCAGGGAACATGTCATCATCTGTATATGTAAAGACAGTATAGCACACAACGATAAATAACAGTTACTAAGGGAGGAAGATAACCTGCTTTATCCATGTCATCCCTTTCAGGCACTGGTATTCTCAGTTGCAGA